TGCAAGTTTCTCCAGTTCCAGCTGTCAATCAAAGCGTGTCACATGGGCTCATGAACAGCAGATGTAGTCGTGAACCTCGCCTGTGTGTGTGTGTGTGTGTGTGTGTGTGACACATGTATAACCTGATCTGCAGTGTTTCCTCATCGCTGTGTTTCCTGCTTCTGTTTCCGTCAGCAGCTCCGCTTTTATTAGTAAAGGTCAGCCAGTGTTTCTGACAGGATTACAGCAATAACTCAATCAATAAATAGTTATATCCATTAAAATAAATATATAATAAAAATAAATAAATTAAAATAAATAAATAATAAAAATAATATAAAGTGTGTGTTTGACTTCCTGTCAGGGTGCGTTGTGGGAAGACTCTGTGGGAGCTGTTTCTGTGACCGTCACATGACCTTTGACCTTACACTCCACATCTGCACACACACTCACATCTGTTCTGTGTAGATGAACATGTGATAGACTGCTGTTTGTTCAATGAAAACTATATATACAAAATTATATAGATATATCATACACACACTCACTTACACACTGTCACACACACAGTCAAACACACAATCACTCTCACAGACACTTACACACTGTCACACACTCTCACTTACACTCACACTTGCATACACACACATGCACTCACTCAATCACACACTTACACTCACACACACTTGCACACACACACTTACTGACTCACACACACTCACAAACACACACTCATCTCCCTGATTCACAGTGTGTAATGTTTCGTAAAATAGCCAGCAGCCATATCACCCTGTAGCCCAAGACTGGTTGCCCATTAAAGCTGAGCAGGGCTGAGCCTGGTTAGTACCTGGATGGGAGACCTTCTGAGAAAGCCAGGTTGCTGCTGGTAGAGGTGTTAGTGAGGCCAGCAGGGGGCGCTCACCCTGTGGTCTGTGTGGGTCCTAACGCCCCAGCAAAGTGATGGGGACACTATGCTGTCAAAAAGAGCACCGTCCTTCGGATGAGACGTTAAACCGAGGTCCCGACTCTCTGTGGTCATAAAAAATCCCAGGATGTCTTTCGTAAAAGCAGGGGTGTAACCCCGGCATCCTGGCCAAATTTGCCCAGTGGCCTCTGTCCATCATGGCCTCCTAATCATCCCCATATACACCAATTGGCTTCATCACTGTCTCCTCTCCACCAGTAAGCTGGTGTGTGGTGAGCGTTCTGGCGCAATATGGCTGCCGTCGCATCATCCAGGTGGATGCTGCACATTGGTGGTGGTTGAGGAGATCCCCCCCCCCCCTTCTATGTGAAGCGCTTTGAGTGTCCAGAAAAGCGCTATATAAAATGTAACGAATTATTATTATTATTATTCCCTGTATGTGATTCGTTCTATGAAACATCTCCTTTTCTGTGTTAATGTAAGTGATGTCACTTCCTGTGGCTGCGTCAGTGTGTGTGTGTGCTGCAGTCGTGAAGGGAATAACTGGAAGCTGGTGTAAAACATCCCATTTGCCTTCACACAGATTTCTCCTTAACCCCGCCCCTTCAAGCTCACACTCATCTGCATACACGTTTGTGGCCACACCCACATCTCAACATCCAATCAACAACAGATGCATATTTACTCTTGTTCAATAATCTGATGCATGTCACAATATCATGGAAGATGCACAATGCTAGTGTAAACACAAACACTGTATGTTTATATGTTATTTATTACACAATGTATTTATTGCGTGTGTGTGTGTGTGTGTGCAGGCATGCAGCCGGTGTTCTGGAGTCGCGAGGACGTCGCTCAGTGGCTCCGGTGGGCCGAGCGAGAGTTTGCACTGAGACCGATCTCCAGCGGGAGCTTCCAGATGAACGGGAAAGCCCTGATGCTGCTCACTAAAGAGGACTTCAGATACAGATCTCCACACTCCGGTGAGACACACACACACACACACACACACACTTTCTCACTTGCTCTCTCACACACACTCTCTCACTCACTCACTCTCCCACTCACTCAACCTCTCTCACCGTCTCACTCTCTCTCTCTCTCTCTCTCTCTCATTCACTCACTGACTCACTCTCTCTCTCTCACTCACTCTCTCTCTCTCACTCACTCACTCACTCACTCTCTCTCACATCACTCACTCACTCACTCATCTCTCTCTCTCTCACTCACTCACTCTCTCTCACTCACTCACTCACTCACTCTCTCTCTCTCACTCACTCACTCACTCACTCTCTCACTCACTCACTCACTCACTCACTCCCTCACTCTCTCATTTATGTGAGTGAACGGGTGTGTGTGAGTGTGTGTTCCTTCGCCGCTTTATAAACACAGCAGACGATGCCGTCTCAGAGTGAGGGATTGTGGGTAACGGTGTGGTTGCATCTGTAATTTGGAGCGGAGGAGGAAGTTGAATTTTGGGTAAACTGCCAATAAGGAAGTGTGTGTGTGTGTGTGTGTGTGTGTGTGTGTGTGGGTGTGTGTGTGTAATCGAGCCGCAAGTAACCGTCACCTGCTAGAGCCAGGAGTTCCCCTTGCATCACACACACTGACCAGAAGCGAGAACTGAGATGTGTGTGTGTGTTTGTGTTTGTTTGAGAGAGAGAGTGTGTGTGTGTGTGTGAGTGAGAGAGAGAGAGAGACAGAGAGTGCGTGCATGTGTGTGTGTGTGTGTGTGTGTGTGTGTGTGTGTGTGTTTATGTGTGTGTGTGTTTATGTGTGTGTGTGTTTATGTGTGTGTGTGTGTGTGTGTGTGTTTGTGTGTGTGTGTGTGTGTGTCTGAGTGTGTGTTCTTCCTTTTTGAGAATCATTTCCTTGATGTTTTTTCAGGAAGCTCTTTAAAATAGGACACAATTTTCATGAGACAACATGAAGACTGACGACTTCCTTCTAGATAATTTACAGTGTTTCGTGTGTGTGTGTGTGTGTGTGTGTGTGTGTGTGTGTGTGTGTGTGTGTGTGTTTTTTTCAAAGCCAACAAGCTGTGTGTGTCAGATGCTCATGAGTGCAGATGTTTACTGTGTGTTTTATATGTTCATTAGATCAGATCCAATGACAGGAAATACATTGAATTATTAAAATAAATATAACACTATTTAAGTACATATTTATTTACATGATTAAATAATTTAGTTATTTTTTTTTAATAAATGATTTGTTTAGATTTTTACATATATGTGTGTAATTTAACTATTTTTTCATGATTACATATATATATATATACAGTATACACACATATATAATAGTAATATTGAAATATAATAAAGGAAAGTGTGTGTATGTGTGTGATCATTACAGATACAGCAGTGATTATTCATGAATGTGCAGATAGACACCGCTGAGGATCAGTGACAGTAACGTTCATTTGTGTGTGTGTGTGTTGATTGACAGGAGACGTTTTGTACGAGCTTCTTCAGCACATCCTGAAGCAGAGAAAACCTCAGTCGCTCTCGTCGTACTTCCCGACCGGATCCTTCCACACACACAACGACACGCAACTGATGCACCACAAACATGAAGGTGAGCGTCTTCATCATCCTCATCATCAGGGCCTGTGCTGCTGAGACTCATGGGAAGCGGTGGGCTGAGAACACTCACACGATCCGGGAGGAATGTTGACAGAAAAACCAGTTTGACGAGGAAACGATGAAGAGCTTTAGCTTGAGTTCTAGACAAAGAATACATGAGAACTTCCTGAAAGTAAGGCCAACACGTGTTCCTGACGACATGCTGTTCCAGGATCAGATCCGCTTTCATCCAGGGTTGCTGAGCGTCACGTCACTCACACATTAATGTTTTAAGGGTTTGATGTTGTGTGTGTCTCGGTTTGGTCTCTGGGAGCCTCTAGTGGCTCAGGCCTGAACTGCAGTTTGTGTGTTTCTGTGTGTTCATGTCCAGTTTAATATTTACACTGCCGTTTGGGATCAGTGAGATTGATCACTGTTTTTAAGAGTCTCTTCTGCTCACCAAGGCTGCATTCATTTAAAAAATTCATAAAAATATTTAAATATTATTAATAAATATTATCACAATTTAAAATGGCTAATACTTAAAACGACAATAATTACAACTTTTTCTCTTTTTTTACTTTGTGGTGGAAACTAGCTTCCATAGTTTTCTATTTTAAAATATTTTAAAAGTGTAATTTATTCCTGTGATATTTATACCTCTAATTAACATATGTGTGTGTATGTGTGTGTGTGTGTGTCAGATACGGTACGCCGGCCGGCCCGCGCCACAGACGCTCAGTCTCTGCAGCCGCCCACCATCGAGCTCCGTCACCGCGCACGTTCACCGCATCATCACCCGTCAACCCTGCGCTCCTCGGCCGAGGACCCCCAGCAGGCGTCCGTGCAGATGCCCGACAGCAACCACCACCTGCCCGAGGACCTGTACCCGCTGTCCGTGTCTCCGGCGGCCCACAACGGCCACCCGCGCGCCGCCAGCGCTAGCCCAGAGGAGCCGCCGCCGCGCGTCATCCAGCTCATGCCGAGCGCCATCATGCACCCGCTGCTGCTGAGCCCGGGACGCGGCCCTGCTCCGGCGGACTTCCGGCACAGCCGCGGCGCCAGCCAGGAGAACGGGCGCGAGGTAAAGTCAGCTTTACACACAGGGTCCTTGAAAGTTTGTGAATCTGAAAAATAAAATTGTAAAACGGATAGTTCTTTATGCTTAAAAAGAGCAAAATGATCTGCCAATGGGGTCAGAAAAATAATATTCATTTAAATGAAAAACAAGATTATTTTTCTGACCCCATTGGCAAGATCATTTTGCTTGTTTTAAGCAAAAACTCTCTTCATTTTTTTGTTTTTTTGAATTCAGGAAACAAGACATCATTTCTTATGTCATTTTACTTATCTAGTGAATGCTTCTTGATTTAAGAACTTTTGTTCAGTATATATATACACAGCCGCTTGCCCAGCTCAGTTCTCATATAATGGTGACAATGCAGGAGATCAATAATATTGTTGAATATTAAATTCAAAGGTGAAAGGTCAGAGTGCCGTCCACTACGCAGCTCACGGTCTGAGTCTCGCGGCTCACCACCTCCCCCTGCAGGACGAGAGACCTTATCGCAACCAGATCATCATGCCTGTGTCTCCGCCTGAGGAACAGGCCACGCCCATGGGCCGCATCGCAGGTTAGACCCCGCCCCCTTTGCTGAAATTGGTGTGCTGTGGTGATGATGTTGTGATGATGCGGTGTGTTGTGGTGATGATGCAGTGATGATGCTGTGTTGTGGTGATGATGAGGTGTGTTGTAGTGATGATGCGGTGAGGATGTGGTGATTATGTAGTGATGATGTGGTGATGTGGTAATGATGCGGTGATGTGATGATGCTATGTGTTGTGGTGATGTGATGATTCAGTGATAATGTGGTGATGATGAGGTAATGGTGTGGTGATTATGTGATGATGTGGTGTGTTATGGTGATGATGTGGTCATGATGTGGTGTTTTGTGGTGATGATGCGGTGTGTTGTGGTGATGATGTGGTGTGTTGTGGTGATGATGCGATGTGTTGTGTTGATGATGTGGTCATGATGTGGTGTGTTTTGGTGATGATGTGGTGATGATGTGCTGTGTTGTGGTGATGATGCGGTGTGTCAGACTGCAGGCTCCTGTGGGATTACGTCTATCAGCTGCTGTCGGACAGCCGCTACGAGAACTACATCCGCTGGGAGGATCGCGAGACCAAAGTCTTCCGGATCATGGACCCCAACGGCCTGGCCCGCCTCTGGGGGAACCATAAGGTTAGAATAATGACAATACTCTACAGTAAAGAGACATAAAATATATAAAAATTACATTTTTAATATTTCATTTATTTTTTTGTTCTTCAATATTTTATTAGTAATATTTATTTATTAAATATAAAAGTGTTATTATTTAATAATAGATTAATTATATTAAAATTTAAATTGTAAAAATGAAATAAGGAATTTGATTTACAGTAATAAGATAAGAAAATTAATTAAAATAAGAAATTATTATAATAAATTATTATAAAATAATTATAATACGTTCAAATAAACAGTTTAATAAAATGTTAAAAACTATATTAAGTATTACAATTTGCAGTTTTTTATATTTAATTAAAAAAAATATGTAATTTTTTTATTTCATTTGTTATATATAATTAAATTTATAAAAAATTATTTTATACGTCTTTATATTTATTTTTTAATTATTTTTTTTAAATATGAAAAATGTAAATAGAAATGGCACAAGGTGGTTATTTTTTTAATCTTTAGCATTGTTGTTTATTAATTAATAAATAATAACATTTTAATGTAACTTCAATATTTTTTTATTAAACTAAATATAAAAATAGAATATTTTTGAAATATTAAAATAGAAATGAAATTGGTTATTTAAAAAAAACTCATGAATATGAATAAAATAGTGGAATATTCAAGGAAATTAGGAAAGACTGTAATGAATGTTATATCAATAGCAGTATCATTGATATTCAGTACTTTGCATTAGATTGAATTGATGAATTGATTGATCAAAAATGAAAAAAAGTCTATATAAGAATACATGTTATTAAATATTGTATAAATATTTTATTTTGGTTTGTGTTTGTGTGTGTGTCACAGAACAGGACCAATATGACGTATGAGAAGATGTCGCGAGCACTGAGACACTACTATAAACTCAACATCATCCGCAAGGAGCCGGGACAGAGACTGCTGTTCAGGTGTTTGTGTGTGTGAGAGAGACTGTTGTTCATGTGTGTGTGTATGTGTGTGTGTGTGAGAGAGAGAGAGAGAGAGAGAGAGAGAGTCTGCTGTTCAGGTGTGTGTGTGTGTGTGTGTGTGTTTGAGATGTGCCTATAATGTGTTTGCTCCTGCGCTGAAGCTTCACCTGTATGTGTGTGTGTGTGTTTTAAATATTAATGCTGAATAAGAGTGTGTGTGTGTCCGCCAGGTTCATGAAGACGCCGGATGAGATCATGAGCGGTCAGTCGGAGCGTCTGGAGCATCTGGACTCAGACACGGATGAACAGATCTATGTGAAGGAGGAGTGCTGAACTCCTCAATCCCATGATGCCTTGCTGCGTGTGACCTCTGAACTCTGTGTGACATCACACACACACACACACACACACACTGCTCTTGGCTCGTTCCAGACCTGGTCTTCTCAGTTTTCTAGTCTTGTTCTTCAACTTCAGCTCCACGTGACAATCACTCTAATGCCGAGCGAAGCTCCTCTTTCTTAAATCAGATCTAGAAGCTTTTTAATTCTCTTTGGTAAGAATCTTGTACGAAGACCTGTTGCCATTCGTATAAACGTGGGATTAATAGAATGCTGGTGAAAATGTGATTCAATTCTACTCTACAATAAATTTTACTGAGTGACACAGGCGTATATTTATGGAGTTTGTTTTCTGTACTTGTATTATGCTGGGGGATTATATATAATTTATATATATATATATATATATATATATATATATATGAAGTCTCATGATGACAACAATATTTCCCTTTAAAATTCATTAAACTAAAGAACATTGTGAATAAACCTAAAGAGGGTTAAGACAGTTATTTATTTGTTTATACAGAGAGTTGAGCTGTGTTATCTTTGATGAAAATGAAAGGAATTGGTGATTTAAATTATAGTTTTTTTAAATAAAAGAAAATAATTAGAAGAAATTCAATTAAAATAATTAGTTTAAGATATTACATTTTTCAACATAATTTATTTTTATTTTTTTTTACATTTATTTTTTTATATTTAATGTTTAATTGTTTTAAATTAAAGTTTCCAGACAGCGTCGACATGCAGTACCGGAAGCGACCGCATGATGGCGTCACACGGGCGCGCACGCGTTACACGATTCAAACATCCCGCGCTGCTGATCATAAACACACTCGCGACTATTTAAATAATCATTACAGAAAATACTGCGCTGCTATCGGGGTTCAGTGATTATAATGCCATGATGAAGATTGCCTTATTCATGTATTATAGAGTGTTTTCATGTTTGGGACTATAACTGCCAGAACGGTGAGTTATGAACACGTTCTGAATGTTAACAGTTTTTGAAATGTTTTAAAAACGTTTTTTCTTGGTTATGTGAGAACGTTATAACGGAACATTCCATTGTATTAGTCTCCAAACATTATAGACTTTTGAATTTACTTTTGACCTCCTTTTCGTTACTTTTGAATAAACGTTCTTCTGAAACAAGTAGCAAACATTTCCAAAAAAAAAACCCGTCAAACTAAAAGATTTTATATAAAAAAACGTTCCATGAAAGATACATTATAAAAATTTTGAGCTAACGTAAGAGAACGTTATTAAAGACCGGATAACGTTCTTTTAATGCTATCAAAAGAACGTTTTTCAACTTCGAGAACCTTGACAGAACGTTCTCTGTCAACTGAGATGAGAGTTCTGTGGTATTAGAATGTAAGAGGGAGAGTGAGTGAATGGGAGTGTGTGTGTGTGTGTGAGAGAGAGAGAGAGAGAGAGAGAGAGAGAGACAGTGAGTGAGAGAGAGATATGCATTGTGTGTGTGTGTCAGTCATTCAGTGAGTGTGTGAGAAGAGCAGCATCTTGTTTTTCTCCATATTTTTCTCCTTTTTTTTAGCCCTTTTACGGCTCTTTTTTAACGTCATAATTTATTCAAACAGGAGACGCGGGAAGCATTCCTCGGAATAATCTCGTTATTTCTGCTGTGGCGGTTTTAATGACGGTTGGTGACGGTTACGCGCTCAACTTGCGCTCGGATCTGAATGATGTGAAATCGCCGATGCGCCGCTGACTGAACCGAAGAGAACCGAACCGGAACCCTGGAGCGGTCGAACTACGACTCTCGCTGGACTGATCGAGCTGGTCGGATGGATTGATCAGGAGCAGCTCAGGTGATTCATCCTGTTCATATATATATATATATATATATATGAAGAGTTCAGATGCAAAAGCCTCCAAATGCCATTTGAAATTTTCTTCTAAAATGACCATTTTTATCAAGCTTGTATATTTAAGTTCAGTGATTTCACTTAAATGACAATTAATAGGTAATTATCACTGCAATTTAAGTGAAATTACTGAACTTAAATATACAAGCTCAATAAAAATGATCATTTTAGAAGAAAATTTCAAATGGCACTTAGAGGCTTTTGCATCTGAACTCTTCATATATATATGTTTTGTGACTCACATGAAAATCTGTGGAAAACCATTTCTGCCACAAGGACTTCCATACATTACAAAACATTACAAAAACCAGCTTTGGTAAATCAAAATTGACAAAAAAGTAAAGATTATGACTTACCAAATCATAACATGAAATTAAAAAGTTTAAATTATGACATAAAAGACATAACTGCACATGGTGACTTTTAATGGAAGAAGACCTAGGTCATTTTTTGCCATAATTAATTGTGACATAAAAATCTAAATGATAACTTAGTATGTCATAATTTCGAGTTTTTGTGTCATATTCAAGATTTACCAAAGCATGATATTTTTTTTCTTATGTGGCAGAAACTAACTTCAGTGTAAATACAGTTGACGAGCCATGGTGAGACCATATGGACTGCTATGCTTTAATTTGTGGTATTTTTAGTTTATTATTATTAATTAATAATTTAATTGCCATAGATAGAAATATAGGTAATAATCACGTAGTACCATAGTGTTTGTTCCTGACCTGAGGCAGTTTACCACAGTACTGACAGTGAACTACACACAGCATCATCCGCACAAACACACACATTAAGAAAGGAAACACATCTTGGAAAGAAAGTTTGTTTGTGGAAGTGCCATAAATACCTTGGTACTCTAAAGAAACACTGGTGTTTTTTTTTAAATTATTTTGTAAGTGAGCGTTGCATTTATTAATGAAATTAGTCATTTATTTAAATGACAGGATGACATGTTTGATAATTTCCTAATATTTTTGGTGTGTTTATGATTACGAAACACATTATCGCATTAGACTCAGTCATTTGATATCTTTAGTGTAAATATGGTCACCGATAATGACGACCATATTGTTTTCATGATAATTCTGTGATATTCTGAAGGACGTGTGGAACCAAACAGTTCTGAGGCATCATCGACTTCAATCGTAGTTTTGTTTCTCTAGAAGTCAGTGGGGTCCATCAACGGTTCGGATGCAAACAAAGTGTATACGTTTGGAACAAATTTAGGGAGAAGAAGTTTTTTTAAGTAGCTGTTATAGAAACAAATGCAAAAAGCTAGTCGTTGATATTGCGTACCGATGCTTTAATAACCGTTCTGATAATCATCATTATTCGGTCATCGCATGCTTTACGTAAGGGTTAATGCCCGACGAGGTGTCCATTGTCAGGTTTTAATGGACGACGGCGAGGCGTAAACCGGCCGACGCGCAGCGGAGGACGGTTGCCTCCGCCGAAGTCCATTAAAACCTGACAATGGACACCTCGGAGGGCATTAACCCGCTTATACCATGGTCACTTGCGAAATAAAACATTAGTTTATATTTTAATTAGGCTAAATCTAGTTTTTACAAATAATAACTTGCCTTGCCTGCCTGACTGTTTATTTAGCAACCGGAGATATAGTCCGCTTAGCTCGTATCCCTTCAGGTTCACAAAGGCATTTTTTTTTCATGAAACACAAATGTAGGCATAGTTTTTTTTTTATTACACATAAAACAATTAATCAAACAACAATAAGAAAACAATTAGCTCTGATCTCCAGCGATTTGCGCTTAACGTTATAGAGGGCAATAAATTAATCAGATCAAAGAGAGGGTCATTTGCCTCAGGCTCTTTAGGCTTGAAACGCTGTAACGTTCAGCCTTCTCCTGCCTTGGTTGTCTGGACAGCTGCGTAAAACTCCCGCAGGGTCTCATTCAGGGGTGCGTTTCCCGAAAGCATCGTTATCCAACTATGGTCGCAAGTTACGTCGTTACCAATAGAGTTCAATGGAGCAGAGCAGCAGCGGTGTAATTTTCTCCGTTTTATTTACATTTTTTCTTTCTTCAGCAGCATACCAGTCGTCAAAGTTGCCATATTCTCCATAAATGTTAAAAGAAATAGCACGAAGTCGCTCATTGTTGTATTAGGCTATAATATCTAACGTTAGATGATAGAGCTAGAGCATGTGACTGCCTGTTGCTATGGTTACTCACAGCCGTTGTGGGCAGCGCATTTATTTATTCATTTCGAATGGTAAACAGGCAGTTTCACCAGAACTACTTTACTAGGTGTCCTCTATCACTTTTTAACGGACACCCTGCAGCCAATCAGAATCGAGTATTCACCCAGACCATGGTATAAAGCCTTGATAAAGTCACCATGAAACCGTTCTATTTTATTTTATTTCGTGAATATTTCTCTGTTTGTTATTAATGATCTGCCCATGCACATCATTATGTTTTTTACATTCATGCACCCTGGTAATCTTTAATGTAAACTAGTCACACATACTCCTAATCTAAAGTTGCCATTGTATATTATTATTAGGAATATTATTGGCTCTTTCGCTGATAGCTTTTGTTCTCTTGGATGAAAGCGTCAGCTAAAGTGTAAAATACGAGCTTTCTTTCCTCCTCGTCACAACACCAGCTCGGCTTTATTTCTACACACTTATAGCACAGTAATACACACAATCAATTATGCAAACGTCATCAAATATGAGAAATTTAAATGCTCTAAAATGTCAATAGAGATATTATGCAGATCAATTCAATGATAGTAAATGTTACAATAGAAATCGAGCAGCTAAGTTCTAGTTTTGATAATAATATTACTGAATATTCAGTGTCGTTTAAACCCCACATATTTTATAATAATATCAGCTATAATAATACCCCTCCCGTCCAGCACCTGTCAGTCAAATAGCAAACCACAACGATCCAATCAAAATCAACCGCCAGCTGCTCATCGGCATTTGTTGATGTCGATGTTGTTTTCTGCAGTATAACGATGTGAAGTGTGTTTATCAGTCGACTCAGATCTGCTGGTTTATCTTTGATTCACACACACACACACACGCCTGCTTGACACTTAACAACCAATCAACTTTTGCTTCTTTTTTCTTTGTTAACTCTGGTTATTATTACACTGTGAGTTGATTCTCGCTCAGATCCGACAGACAAAAACACTTAATGAAGGCACAGATACACTTCATCTTGAGCGGTGTGTGTGTGTGCTATTATTGGCCGTCCTCATCATCACCTTGAGTCCTGCATGAATCTGGACTCATGTTGGTCTCTGAACATATTGAGACGAGGAGAGATCGACCCTGACCGTAGACGTGCGGCCTCAGATGAAGCAAATATGAGCTTTTGTCTCGGTTTCCAGCAAAAATATCTAAACATTCTTAAATCAAGACACATTTACTGGAGAAGAAGCAAAATTACT